GTAGGCCTCCAGTGGTGCTCCTGTGATGCCGGAGTAGAAAAAGTCCTTGCCCACGTAGTTGAACCCGTGGCGCTCCAGCTCCGCCTGAATATCTTCCACCTTGGAGCCTCCGAAGGCAGTTCCATAGTGGAACTTGCCCTCCAGGAGACCAGCCTTCCCGCCGAGCAGTTCTAGGGTTTTACCCACTGTCATACGGGAGGGGAATCCGTGGGGGTTCATGATCATATCCGGACAGATGCCGAAGTCATTAAAGGGCATGTCCTCCTGCTCAACAATCAAACCAGTCACACCTTTCTGACCGTGTCGCGAGCTGAACTTGTCCCCTATCTCGGGTATTCGGGTCTGGCGCAGCAGGATCTTGATGAGAAAGTCCTCCTCGGCATTGGCGGAAACCATTACGCGCTCGACGTAACTGGGCTCGGGACCTTTATAACTAATGGGCACTGCGGTGTAGGGAACCTGCGCAGACTGACCCTGCAGCGGATTCATCGATGTTACCGCGGGCATCTCCTTGTTAATCATAATCTGCTTGTTTTGCACCTGTTCGCCTGGAGCCACAATTCCGTCAGTGTCCAAAACGTCGTGCTTGAAGATAACCTTGTTCGTCAGCGCATCTTTCATGGGACCCATGATTCTGTCGAATGTCTGATTCGCATACCGTTTTACAGTGCACTTTGAGTTTTTGTACACCAGACAGCGTCCATATCCCCGATCGATTGAGGCCTTGTTTAAGATCAGCGCATCTTCGATATCGTAGCCAGAGTAGCTCATAACTGCCACAGTGGCATTCTGACCAGCAGGCAGTTTGTCAAAGTTGGTAAGCTCAATTGTCTTGGATTTCACCATAGGAGCATGGGGATACACCAGATTGTACATCAGGGAGTCAATCCTGTTCTTCTGGTTGTAACCAATCATTCCCATCGCTTGCTTACCCATAGCACACTGGTAGGTGTTCCTGGGACTCTGATTGTGATGAGGATAGGGCACCAAACCTGCACAGACTCCCAGCAATGTGAAGGGTTCGATTTCCAAGTGTGTAGTCCGATCCTCTATTTGATCCTCGTTCCAGGCAATAAACGAATCGTTCTCCTCGTTCACATCTAAATACTCGATAAGTCCGTCCAATAGAAAGTCGTCAAACTTGCGAATTCCACGGTTTAGCTCGTCCAGGTGATGTTGCTTCACCAACGGACGACGGTTCTCCACAATTACATAGGGGCGGCACAGACGACCGCCATCCGTGTGGATGTAGATGCATCGCTGGGTGTATGATGTGTGCACAGAGACATAGCTGCCCATCCGACCCTTTCTGCGCATGTATCGAAGATTCCGCACCAGGTGCTTGTGGTTCAAGGTGAGGCCCAGAACATTACCATTGATGAAGACGAGGAATACATTCGGATTATTGATGGGGTTGCCGCTCACTTCTCGTATGTCCTCCACGCCAGCATTGAAAGCCACTATCATAACTGGTCGCTCCTCCACCTCGGTGGTGATGTGCGTCATCAGAGCCAGATTTTTGACCAGACCACAGGCTTCTCCCTCTGGAGTGTCCGAGGGACACAGCATGCCCCATTGACTGGGCTGCAGTGATCTTGGCCCCGACACCTTTCGCGTCTTCTCAAACTGCGAGTTCACGCGGGTCATCATTCCCAACGCAGATATATAACTCAGGCGAGACAGAACCTGCGTTACGCCAGCTCGTTCCATCTTAAATCGCTTTATGGTCCAGTTTCCGGAACTGATGGCAGACTCAAGTCCCGCGGTGATTTGTGCCGCCCTCATGTGCTTTACCACATCGAACTGCGCCGCCTTCACCTTGGGTATATTCTTGTCGGCAATAGTCTTAAGCTCCCAGTTCATGCGCTTGAACAGATCCTCGAACATCATGGAGAGCAAGGAACCTGCCAGCTCAAGTCGCTTGTTACCGTAGTAGTCGCGATCGTCAAAAAGCGTTTTATCAAGCTCGGCGGCCATCACACGACGCACCATCAAGGACACATAGATGGCCTTCATTTGCAAGTTGAAGTTGTCCACGGGCACGTGCGCTAAAATGGTGGTCAAGAGCAGCTCACGGGCCTCTTCCGAGGGCGTTTTCGTGGTTGCACTCTGAAAGCGCTTGACCACCAACTTGGAGCCTAGAAAAAAAGATATTTAGAGTCAGGCTTAAAGTAGGATAAACAAACTTACCCATGTACTCCAATGCCCTTTGCTGTGTGAAAACCTTCAGGTTATAGGCGTCCAGAAGAGAGGCACCGAATCTATTCTGCGATTTGCTGTCTATGCCAATAAGCGATTGAATTTCCTGATCGGAGACTACGCCAAGAGCTTTAAAGATCACCACAATGGGTATGTCGTCCGTCATCGAGTTGTGCTTGAGGTAGTACTTTCCATGCTTGCTCAGCACCAAAGTACGCGACTTCTTTTCGTGTGTGGAGGAGGTAACCTGGCATTGCACCACACCATTGAAGTCCTCGGTGAGCATCTTGTTCCATGAAAGCTGCTCCTGAATGAGAATAACCTTCTCCTGGCCCCGCACCACAAAGTAGCCGCCAGGATCCAGTGGACACTCATTCAATTTGGACAGCTCGAACTCCGACTTGCCGGTAAGAGCGCAATTGGAGCAGCGTAGCATGAGGGGCATCCTTCCGATTAGCAAATTATTCCGCTTGATCCGCTGCGTGCCTCTCGTGTACTCGATGTCCACGGTGATGGGGGCGGAGTACGTGGTGTCCCTCAGGCGGCATTCATGCGGCGTAGTCGCCTTGGTGATGTTGAAGCCTTCGTCGATGTCCGGCTTGCCCACCCGCACATCCAAGTACTTTAGGTAAAACAGAGGATCCGCTCCACTGGTCACCAGCTCGTTGGCCTTCACAATTTTTTTTATGTCCACGTTGATGAAGTGATTGAATGAATCAATGTGTTGCTTTACTAATCCTTTTACTTGCAAGAACGCCGGCACCAATTTCCACTTCTCCGTTAGCGGCTTTATGGGCACCGACCAGTCCTTGCTGTCGCCGGGATCCCAGGTGGTGGCCTCCACGTTGTGATCGCCCATCTTCAGCTCCACCATTTCGCTTTAATAATTTAAAAATATTGTCAACAAAACAGCGTGCTATAAGGTTCTTCGATATATGTTTTCTTCTTTTCTTCGTCTATCGGATATCGATATCGGTAAGGTTGGTAGCTCAATTAATTCCCGCCAAATCGAAATCTAGCTATAATTTAATTAAATTTCCTCTGTGCGCGCCAATTGAAAACTTTGATTAAAAGACAAGGAGCTTAAGTCGTCTTAAATCCACACACTCACATAAAGCACATTCGTTTTTTATTTTCAAATAAAAATGCCATCAAATAATCAAAGTGTAGTTGTTGCACAGAGTCTAAACCTTCTTCACAATCTGGACCACATCCTCGTCGTTGAGAACGTGTTCGATGCCCACCTTCTGGGGCTGATGCTTCACAGATGAGCCCCAAACCAGCGCACTAAGGAGGATATAAATGTTAATAACCAAGGCAACAGAGGGACACTCAATCGCACTCACTATTTAAACTCCTTGGCAATGGAGCGATGCAGCTTGTTGCAGAAATCCTCAATGCTGGTGCGCTCGTTGTGGAGCACCACGGGCGAGTTGTAGTCGGGCAACTGACCCTTGGGCTTGGTGTAGATGCGCTGTAACCGCAGGTACTCCCACATCAGCTCAAGAAGATCGTCAAAGTTCCAGTGGTGATGGGCTGAGATGGGCACGCAATGTGGGATCTTGTAGATGACGTCCAGCTCCTCGATGGAGATCTGATCGATCTTGTTCAGCAGATAGATGCAGGGTATGTAGATGCGGTTGCCCTCGATAACGTCGATCAGATCGTCACTAGTGGCGTCGTATCTCAGGGTGATGTCCGCATTGTGGATCTTGTACTCGGACAGAATGGTCTTCACCAGATCCGTGTCCAACTCCGACTGCGGAACCATGCAGTTAAGATTGATGCCACCCTTGTCTTTCCGCTTGTAGTAAATATTTGGTGGTTTCTTGTTAAGCCGAATGCCGAAGCCCTCCAATTCATGCTCGAGCAGTTTCTTGTGGCCAAGCGGTTTCAGGCAATCCAGCACCATGAAGATGAGGTTACAGGTGCGAGCGACAGCTATCACCTGACGACCTCGACCCTTGCCATCCTTGGCGCCCTCAATGATACCGGGCAAATCCAGCAGCTGGATCTTGGCGCCCTTGTACTTAATGCATCCTGGCACAGTGGTCAACGTTGTGAATTCGTAGGCCGCCACCTCGGAGTAAACGCCAGCCAAGTTAGAGAGCAGTGTGGATTTACCTACAGAAGGAAATCCGACAAATCCCACACGGGCATCTCCTGTCTTCGCCACCTCGAAGCCAGCTGGAAATACATCATGTTTAGTGATTGTAAGAATTGTATACCCAAGAGCCCACCTTCGCCGGTTCCGCCGCCGCCTCCTTTGGGAGAAATCAGCTCGCGTCGCAGCTTGGCCAGCTTTGCCTTCAGCAGACCCAAATGCGCCGAGGTGGCCTTGTTCTTCTGGGTTCGGGCCATCTAAGATGCAGTTACGCAGGTGGTCCAATAACCGGGTCATTTAGAAGGTATCCAGGGGGAATCCGCGGGGTAAATGGATGCGAGACAGGTTAGTTTCTGTAAGATCGGTCGGTGCTCCAAGTTCCACTCACCTCCGACTCGATGGCCGAGATTTTCTCCAAAATTGTGCTCATGGCTGGCTGGCAGTTAAACGCGGTTCACAGAAAACCCAGTTATCAACAAATATGCATGTAAAAATAAAAAATATAAAACTCTCGCGTGGACAGTTGGAGGAGCAATCGATAAGTATTCGATACAATCGATTTTCCCAGTAATGTGGCAACATCATCGTTGATTCCCAACGTTAGCCAGCACTTAAGAAATCGTAATAGTATTCTTTAATAAAATTGAAATGGTCAGGCTGATTGGAATTAAGCCGTTACAATTTGATTTCTACAAGAATGTTTGCTAAAGGTTCTGTTAATAAATACTAAGCAATACTCAAAACTAACAAAACTTAAACCATTTTTCCAGTTAAACCACGCACCCCTCTGGGTAACAGCCAGGCCCAATTTAAGAACCAACTGGCCAAAAACGTCTCTCAATTGAATCGCAGTTTTCCAACAGCCGCGGAACTTTTGCGCAAAAGTAGCAGCCAATTGCGGCAAACTAAATTGACTGTCTGTCGTAAGGATAACAAACTGAAGTACGATGGTTTCGTGGATGAAGCTGTGGTAATTAGGCCCAAAAAAGAATTTGTCTACGTTCCAACACCGAATATCCTGGAAAAATCCAGTTGCGAGGTCCCAACAGAAAAGGAAGCACCAGGGTTACCAGGTTCCCCGATGTCGAAACCTGGACGAAACTTAATAAGCTTGATCGGTCGCGTGGATTTTTGCCTTAAAACTCACAAAATGTATCCGGAAATTAACGCTATTTGGAATGTTTATGGTAAGTCTGAATCTTACTTATTATATTCAAAGTACTTAAAATCAAATAGCTCTCGTTTTCAAAAGAAAATTATTTTTTAAAAAATTGAATACTACTTGTTAATGTAAATAGTTCCTGAATAACTAACTAACTAAAAAAACACGTTTAATAGGCAAGTTAAATTATTAAATCAAATTTTTCAGGAAAATTGTTACGGATCATTGTGGGAAAACGTGGAGAGCACACACTGCTCGTGCGAAACAAAGAATCTGGACCCGTACTACAGGGAATTTACTACGATTTCGAAGGCGTTATGAGTTCTTGGAGCCCAGGTAAAATACAGGTAACCGAGTAAAAACCTAACTAAAGCAAACTTTAATCTATTCAAAGGCTGCTTCGTCCATCTCGTGGGCCAGTTTATTGGCGAAAATCGTTTGAAGACATTTAAGATTGCCCAGGTAAGCGATATTGACTGGCAACAGCAATTTATGCGCATTGAAAATGTGTCATCGTATATTCTAATGCAAAATACTGTGCACAAGTAATTTATTTTTTAAGGATATGGTAATAAACAGTTTTCTTGAGATTTTTAGGCGGCCAGACGACAGTGTACTTCTCATAAGGTAGCTTAAGCTTTTCGATCCTGGCCTCTAATCAACAGTTAAATGTTTCATTTTGTACTTTTGTAGTTTACAAATCATGAATAATTTATAGATTTTGTAAGTAACTTATAATTGATATACTAGGAACTAAGTTAGCTTCATAATGCCCCTTGACGATTCTCACCAGGAGCATTGCACAGTTAGGACTACAATAAATACAAAATTCAAAGTAGGCGTATAAACTCTAATACTGGTTGACTTATTCAACTAATTGGAAGGAAATGGGTTTCAGTTCTACGAGTACAAATCAAAGTACATGAACACCGTGACTAGAAATCCGCAGAACACAGCGCATAAGTAGCCCAAGTGCAACGAGGCGGTCTTCTCATCGCGGAATCTGCAAATTGAAATAAAGACTTCATGTTAATAATGACAACTTAAAGGGGATTTCCATAAAGCTTACCGTTTCTTTGAACGCGGCGTAAAGGGCGAGGGCGGATATACTCCGGGCACCGCGCTGTCCAAGTACACGATTCCGTATGCGAATGCGGCCACGAGAAGGCCACACAGGAGGGGACTCAGCCTGGAGCCCAGCTGGTGCCTGTTGGCCCACACCAAGGTCTCGTTCCACCGACTCTGCACCTGGTGGCTCAACTCCTGAATCGAATCGCCCGTGATGTATGGCACTGCAAAGAGAACGCACAATGCTCGTTAGTATCTGAGTTTGAGTGTCGTTCTATTGATTTCAGTCTTATCAGTCTTGGCATGATAAACACGTCAAAATGTTGGGCTTATAAATAGGGTGGTTCGAATTTATTACCCTATGAGAAAAGTGCTCAAAAACAAAAAACATAAAAATGTACAGAAACCCATTCCTTAAACTACAAATACCAAGGTTGCGCTTTTTATAGATTTGGATCGCTCTTAACGATTGGAAACAAATATTCGTTTGCATTGCTGAAATTATTTTCGTTCTCGCCAATGCATTAATATCTAATTTATATTTTTTAGACAATGTTTGAAATTAGTTTAGAATTATTTAAAAATTGATAGTTCAGTGAACATATTTGGTAGCAAAATCACAACTTTTATTAAATCTTGCGGTTAATCCAAAAAATGTTTTTTGACCCTCGAAACAATCTGGCTAAATTAGGTTCAATGACAATTGCAGCAATTAATTTTTTCAATTAATCCCATCAATGGTAAGCTTGTTACAATTTGTCGTACTGTTTAGGAGCCACCCTAATGCAGAACCTGCGGCAAATTACTGAATCGTTACAAATGTAAATTCGTTATTTCCATGGGCTTTTTAGCGGTACCTTCCAAGGTAAATATGTATGTGTATGTATGTGTCGCGTGACGAAAGCCTGCTGCTAAATACCGTTAAGCTAAGCGCAGGCGAATAACTAATAGTCGCTGGGCTAACAATTAACTAACTAATGACATTCCGCCATTAAGATGAAGCAACTAATCACTCAGCGATATTTTTAAGGTCTTGAATACGCTTGTATGCAAATGAGAAGGCTAATGCGCATCAAACAGTTTGCCTTCCTTATATAGACGTTTTTTTCGCTATTTGGGGAGTGATGCAGGGGGAACAAACACCACCGCTATGAGATCACACGAACTTCAACTATTTATAAACGCAAAAGTATAAACAAAGCGAGTAAAGACGACGCAACCGACAATTGCAACCTTGGATTTCCACCCCCACCTCACCGGCGGATGTACAAAAATAAATAGAAATCCAATAAAACCACAATATTTACATTTTGCCCCACTTTGGCACACTTACTGGTTAAGATGACGCTTTTGTAGCCGATGATAAGAATCGCAAAGAGAAGGGCCCCCTTTTTGATCAGCGGATCAAGAGCGGTCACCACGCCCACTCGCCCCTTTTCCGTGGGTTCAGCAACGCCCACGTAGTGCTCAAGTTTCGGATGAGAGGTCTTCGGCGTGGAGGTGTGGATCGGTCCGTTCGGTTGCCCGTTTTTTCTACTTCTGACTGCCGTCGAGAAAATCCCATTGGTTTTGTTTTCCTCATGCTGGCGATGCGTGACGTCACAGCCGACGTCGGTTGGTTTCACCTGCATTTTGCTGTTTTGTCGTTTGCCGGCGCAAGCTTTGTTTGGATTTGGATTTCGGTGTTTGAACTGCGCCCAAAGCACCTATCAGTGCGTATCTAACCCGATAATTGTTTGATTTATGTCACAATAGCACAAAAACAACAAGAAAGACGTCACACCCCCGAAAAAAAACAACGCAGAAATGCAATTGGAACTAGTGATGGAAGAATTAATGTTGCATCCTGAACTATCGACGACCTCTTATCGATAGTTCATTGGTTACCAGAATTCAGCTGGACTCAAATTTGTTTTAACCCTTATATGAATCACTTTAAAATTGAAAAGCCATTATATATTTTGAAAAATTACCTAATTTCTATAATTCAAACTAAAAAAATACATAAGCCCATTTTAACATTTAAATAATAATCATATTTTTATTTGCAATTGAAAAACCATAAAAATAGTTTAATGTACATGTTTTATAGTTTAATGTATGTATTCATTTTATTTGTATCTTTGTTAGGTTTTCTTTTCAATTCTTACATTTTTAGGTTTTCTGTTTGAATGCATTTTTAATGCATAATTGTTGAATTTAACGAGACAATTGTATGTATTATGATGATGTTACATTAACTAAAAATTAACTGCGATCATAGAAAAGTTAATTTTAATTACTTAATAAGGCTCTGTTTACGTTTTCATTACTTTACTTCGTACTTTAACTTATGCGCGCTATACTTTCCTCTTTATTCGATATACAATAGTCTAAAAATAAAAGTAAAATCAATAAATCAAACACTATAAAAGAACAGGATAAAACTTTTAAATTATAAATAATTACTTTTACAGAGATGCGGTTAACAAATTTTTCGACACATTTTCTGATGTTTGTGTTTTTGGTGTTTCTCACAAAATGGTTATAGTACATACTGAATGCAAAACTGAACAATCCGAATTCTTGGCGCTTAGATGTGAGCTGCATGGTGTGGATAAAGGTAGTGTCGGTTTAACAACTATCGTGGTCTTTCCTACGTCTTAAATATTTAGTTAACTTAGGCGCCTAGACTAAACATAAGTAAACTAACAAGTATGCGCTCTCTCCTCCTTCAATCTGCGCCATCCCAGCTCCTATGATTTGGCTGAAGCAGCTCCTGCGCGCGTTCGTTTGGCCATGGGCTCCGTAGTGTCAGCCGCTCGTATGTTGTCGAACAGATTGTTCTCCTGAAATCAATTTGGTTACAAGAGTTAGATTTACATTTAGTATTTACCGAACACCCCACTAACCTGCGGATTCTCATCATCCATGATTGACTGTTCCGCCGGTCGCTTTGGAGCCACTGCTGCTCGCGACGTTGTCATTGCTGTTGTGGCAGCTTTGCTCGTAGATTTGACTCCCAACGTATACACGTCCAGCGGTATATAGACGTCATTGTTTTGGAAATTCGCAACGGCAGGCTGTTTATAATACATTTCTGGCAAAGCCAGCGGCATGGAGAAAGTGGTCGTGTTGCCATCAAATGGACTGAATTTGGAGTCGATAATGTACATGGCAAGATCGCAGAGCGCCCACATTTTCTGATAAGCGAAAAATATATATATGATAAAGAAAGGGGCACCTAGTAAAATAACAAAATTGACATACATAATTGTCGCGCTTGTCCGACCCCAGACTGAACTCGCGATGCTTTATCAGCTGGAGCAGCTGCTTGTAGAAGCTATGGACAAACGTTTCGCGTTTGGCCATCAGCGGCTCCAGAATGAAACGCAGGCATTTCTCCATTTTGCGCAGCTGTACATAGTCCTCATGATTCGTGTAGCGGGGATCGTGGACCAGCACGGGAATAGCGAAAGCCAGCATATAGTCAGGTAGTATGTGTAATGATTGTGACTCCGTTGAGCTGTCGGGAGCTGAAATAATATGGCAAGATGGGTAAAATATACAATGAAATTCCAAAAGTAAAACACCTACATGTCATCGCCACAGTCTTCAGATATTCCCGCCGTTTGTTTACATCTGTTTCTGCATAGTGACGCACAAGATCTTGCAGTCTGTTGAAAATATTTATCAATACTTTTCCAAGCGGATCCGATGGTTGCTTGAACTACTCACTTTCTGTCAGTCTCTAGACCAGCCAGGACATACAAGCCCATAAAGTCCAGCGGCAAACAGTTCCTGGGCAAACTTCTGCTCAATCCTTTGTGCAGCTTGCGAGCAAAGATTTCCCGAACTTCTGTCACCGGATCAGCCTACGAGAACACCGGGATAGACATTGAAACTAATTTCTAAGCACAAGAAGAATGTCGTTACTCACCATCAGCTGGGAAAGCTGCATATACTGCTCAGCACTATACTGATCACCTACGCCCTTTTGCTCGCATACCTTAAGCATGGCGCAGGCCGCCCCGAGGCGCAGCCAGGATTTCTCGGCACCACAAAGACGGTTCTGGCCGAGCAGATCGCCGCGCTGGTTAACGAACGCCGCTAGCATTCGGAATGTTTTCTGAGCAGCGTGTTCATCGGTACGCAGTCCCAAAAGCCACCGGGCCATAGCCTTGAGCGCATCTAGCTTACATAGTGTGTCCGGTGGTAGTTTCTCTTGGGCACACCACTCGCTGTCCTCTGGCAGTTCGTAGTCCCGCTGCGCCGGAACTTCTTGGATTAGCAGCTCTTTGACAATGCGTCGCGCAACCATATTCTTAATGGGCGTTAGGAAGGCCTGTGGCATATTGTAGGCAATGTGACCCAAGGTCACAATCTTGGTGCGCTGATGCTCACAGTTTGGTGTCAGTTTTAAACGAAGCGTCTCGATGATCTCGTTGAAAATGGGATGCACTGTTTGGGTAGTTGTGGACGCGCTTCCGGCTCCACTTGTTGCTCCATCAGTTGCAGTCGACGACTGGCTATTTACGAAAATACATCGCACCGCATGCTTTGCTTGCTTGGGGGTTCCAATGAGAGCGAAGTCCTTGCACACCGGAGCCAGCTCGTCAAGAATAGCCGGTGTGGGGTCGTCAATAAGTGGCTGATAACGCCCCAGATGGGTTAGTGTTTTTAGCACCAGTGGTGCGACATAATCCTGCTCGTAACTTAGCAGCGAAATTAAATGACGCAGCGAAGTATCGGTGAAGAAGTGAGCCGAGAAGACGTATGATAGCATCTGGAAGTTGAAGGCAATAATGTGGA